TCTAAAAAATCTGTACCATCTTGGCTCAGGTCTGCTTGTGCCTTTGGCTAATGGGACCATAAGGGTGTAGCTTTGTCCTGCCAGGACTCGGGGCAGTGGCAGGTCTCCTTGGGCGGGGACTTGCTGGAGCTGCTGATTTTGGTGCAGCCCCAGCCAATGGGGTCAGAACAGCATTGGTGTCCTTGCCCACAGGTTCCTTCTGTGTGTCACAGCCCCGTGTTTGGGAGGGCCACCAGCCGGGACTTCTCCCAGGGAGCCCGTGCCAGCTTCTGTGGAGGCCCCGTGTCCTTCCCACTGTGGCTGCGTTAGTTTTTCAGCTATGCCTAAAGTTCACGTCCAGCTGTCTTAGATACTTTGGAAAACAGATTCCTTCTGACCTGGGGCAGGTTGGCCAGGCTGGGGGAGGCCCCAGGGCATGTGGCAGTGTGTCACAGGGCCCTTTGTGACATGGTGGGCGTTGCCAATGGATGGCACAGGGCAGGGTGTCACAGGGCCCTTTGTGACACGTGATGACTTAATACTGGTGGTGAGGTGGCCACGCCTCAGTGCTCCTCGGAGCGTGTGACGGGACAGACGGGACAGAGCGGTGCTGTGCGGAGCCCCCGTGCAGCCAACTCGTTCCTTACTGATCCGGAGCTTTTTGGAGTCTTCTTTGTGGTTCAAGCGACCTCGAGGCCAGACTGCGGGACTTGGTGACCCGGAGCTTTCCTGCGGTGTCTCCAATCCCAGCGGCAGGTGCCATCGAGGCCATTCTCTGGGGCTTCGTGCCCCAGAGCTTTTCCCTGGCGTCTCCAATCCCTGCAGCAGGTGCCCTTGAGGCCCAACTGTAGGATGGCGGGGAGACGCTTCAGCCTGTGCAGGGTTCTCAGGAGGAAGAAGACCGGAGACCCTGGGACTGCCCCTGCACAACAACCTGAAGAGATGCAGCAGGTCCAGCCCCTGCAGGAGGGTGAGTGGCAAAGCTGGGCCACAGGACTGGTGGCTGCAGCCAGCTGAGCCTCTTCCCATCCCATCCTCTCTGGACATGCCCAGGGAAAGGGAGCAGGGAATAGGGGCTGGGGCTGATCCCCTGGCAGCTCCATGCACTGGGCATCCCGGGGCTGGCCCTGCCTGTGGAGTGCAGGGCTGGGCTGTGTTCTCTGGCCCCTCCTGCAGCCCCTCAGCTCTGACTGCGCTCTCTGTTTGCCAGATCCAGGCCGGGTCCAGACAGAAGAGCAGGGCCATGCCCATGGCCGCTTCTGCAGGAGAGCACAGGTACCTACAGCCATTCCCCCCTGGGCTGGGCCTGCTGTCACTGCTCAGCCAAGCACTGCTGTTGGAGCTCTCCATGGCACATTCCTCCCTTCCCTGCCCTTTGNGGAGCTCTCCATGGCACATTCCTCCCTTCCCTGCCCTTTGTTTTCCTGCAGGCCTTTCTGAAATTCTTGGGCATTCGGCGTAGGAAGACCAGGACAACACCAACCGAGGTCATGGCACAGCCTGACCCCACGCCGAACGAGCTCAAGGCAAAGCCTGATGTCGGCACCGTGTCAACTGATGGCACAGCAACCTGTGACACCGCGGTGACCGATGAACTGATGAACACCGACAGCAAACCTGTTCAGCGCCTGGCCGATGCTCCAAGTCTGGACTTCCTCGAGGAGAGAGTTGTCTCTGCTCAAGTAAGAAGTCTGTGGCCAGCGATTGTGTGGCCCTTCTGCTGGGCCCCCTCAGCCTTTGTGGCCAGCAGAGTGTGGTGGGAAGGGAAGCACTTCTCGGGGATAAACTGGGCAAGTTGCTCCCTCTGGCAGCTCTCCAACTCCCTCATGTCCCCCCCTGGCCAGACTGTGGGACTTGATGACCTGGAGCCTTCCCAAACGTCCTCTGTTGCAGGAGCTTTCAAGGCACTTCTGCAGGACTTGGTGACCCAGAGCTTTTCTGTGCCATGTCTCCTGCAGGTAGCCGTGGAGACAGACAGAGGCAAGGAGCAGAGACCCCCCAGGGTGCCCAAGCTGGCCTGGCTGAAGGAGAGGGAGATGGAAGGCCCTGGGCCTGCCCCAGCACAGCACCTTGAGGATGTGGAGCAATTCCAGCCCCTGCAGGAGGGTGAGTGGCAGAGCTGGGCCACAAGAACTGGTGGCTGCAGCTGGCTGATCCTCTTCCCATCGCATCCTCTGTGGACATGTCCAGGGAAAGGGAGCAGGGAATAGGGGCCGGGGCTGATGCCCTGGCAGCTCCATGCACTGGGCATCCCGTGGCTGGCCCTGCCTGTGGAGTGCAGGGCTGGGCTGTGTCCTCTGGCCTCTTCTTCAGCCCCTCAGCTCTGACTGCGCTCTCTGTTTGCCAGATCCAGGCCGGGTCCAGACAGAAGAGCAGGACCGTGCCCATGGCCAATTCCACAGGGCAGCACAGGTACCTACAGCCATTCCCCCCTGGGCTGGGCCTGCTGTCACTGCTCAGCCAAGCACTGCTGTTGGAGCTCTCCATGGCACATTCCTCCCTTCCCTGCCCTTTGTTTTCCTGCAGGCCTTTCTGAAATTCTTGGGCAT